CTGTCTGTGCCTCCTGAAGTCGGTTATGAGTTCTTTTGTTTTAAGGATGTTCAGCTTCAGGTTATTTTCTGAGCACCAGCAGGACAAATTCTCTACCTCCGCCCTGTACGCTGTCTCCTGTCTCCATCGTATAAGGCAGGGGTGGTCTCAAACCGAGCAAACAAAGTGTTGAGCTCTGCTACTTTGATGCTGCTGTTGGGGGTTGGAGGATTGGCCTTTTTGGACACCTGGTGGGGGTTGTTGTAGGTGAGGAGGCCCTCTACCCACCTGCTGTAGGCAGGTGGGTAGAGGGCTTGTTTGATGCCCCTCCTCAGGTTGGCTCAGGCAGTGCTGTACAGAGAGCTGTCCCTCAGCCTCAGGGACAGGGCGTGGACGAGAAGCAGAGAGAGGTGGTCAGATTGTCCTGGGTGGGGGAGGTACACATGGACACATGGACCAGTGTCCTGTCCCCCTGAGAAGACACCTCAGTTTCAAACATGCCTTATTAAAGTCCACAGCAACAGTATAGATGACCTCTGGGTGCTCTCTCTGCTGTTTACTGATAATAAGTTGAAGGCCCTTCAGTGCTAAGATAACGTTAGCATAGGGTGGGGGGGGTGTAAACAATGGTAACTGTAACTGTAAATGGTAACTGTGGCTAATGTTAGGTTGTGAGGTAGATAGAAGAGCCATGAATGGGCAGCACAGAGCCTGTAGGACCGGTTCGGTGCCTCCTCTGAAGCATCTGGGATTTTTGGATGGAGCCAGGATTCGGTTACAATCAGTAGACAACACTCCTGGACAGCTGTAGTAAATCTCTGATTGAAGCTCCTCCGTTTTGTTTGTGAGGGATCTGGCGTTGGTCAGGACGATGGATAGTTGTTTTCACGACAGAGACTAAACACGAGGATAAATTACTTATTTGATCTTTCAGCACTCTTGAAGCTTTTATTAGAACAAGCTTGTACTTGGTTTAAAAAAATCATCTGAGTGTCAAGTCAAACCCATGTGGACGGAGTTAAGCTATATGTAGCAATTTTCTCATAAATCGTTTAATTCAATGGCTCAACAATACTTGCAGATATGCAGTATTCTTGACACATCTGCTTAACTTGCAGATAAGCAGATGTGTCATGCTGACATATCTACTTAAACCGTTCTATTCAATAATATTTGGAAAGTCAAGGGGAGCTATTTGATTAAATGAGCACATGCTGCTCCTCTTCTTGGCAGAAATCAAGTGCTGTAGTGTAAGAACTAAAGGCCCAGAAGTGCACAAGTACAATGAAATCATGTTTTTTGGCCTACAAGTATAACAATAAAAAGGCTGGTTCGTGTTTATCTTTGGTTGTTACAACAATTCAGAGACTTTGCTGACGCAGCTTTTTTGAAAGGAACATTGGACAGAGTCAGCTAAAGCTTCCTCTTCTTATTCTTTTGATCTTGTGTGAAAATCAATCAATTGTCACATGAGCTTTACATCTAGTAGGTGAACCTACAAGCATATTGATTGTGAGGTGACATCAAGAGGCTGTTCAAGCTATCAACAACTATAATTTTATAGACAATAGAAAACGCAATTTTTCTACTGACATTTTTGCATCTTGAGAAAAAGAAAAACAAACACATTTCATACTGATTCTGACAGTTCAATCTTTAACCCTTTAACTGTGTTCTCTTCAGTATTTGATCTTTTTTCCATTTTTCACCACCTTTTGCTGTTTTTGGGGGATGGACTAATAATAAATGTAAAACTTAAAATATGCAGCAGTTTCTAAACATAGTTCCAAAGTATGTTACAGAACACAAAAAAGTAAAAACAGCTAAAGCAACAATAATTTAAAAAAAGAGAAAAAAAAGAAACAGTGTAACTATTACAGGTAGGATCAACCAATATTAGAAATTTATCAATTAGTTAATAATAGAAAATAAAAAGTCAGAAACGAGATTGTGTAGGGTTTACTACAGATTAGGATAGATTGGATTAGGATTAGGCCCACTAGAAAAAGAAAAAGTGTCACTGATACAAAAGTATCCCATTTCTGAGAAAAAAGTCAGAATTCTGACTTTTTTCTCAGAATTCCATTCCAGTCCATTCCTCTTCCGTAGAACACCCTTACACTTTTACACTTTTACCCTACACTCCTTTTATTTGTTTATGTCAGATAGACTAAACATTTATGTGTCCGTCACACAGATCTGAACAAAACAGACATGAAGAGACGGCAGCGTTGACTCTGGTTGGCAGTTATTGAATCATCTTATGTATCTTTTTAGGACGTTATTACCAGAGAGAAGAATGAAGTGAGAGAAACAGCACTGAGATAAAAAGAGAGAAGTTATTGGTGTCTAGATCAGAAGTGAGCGCACAAAGAGAGATCAGGGGAGGTTATGAGGACGAGTTAAGTTTGGAGAAAGTTTAAAACTGCTTGTCATCATCATCATCATTAATATCTGACACTCGGAGGCTTCTCCTTATCTCTCTTTATCGCCTCCCACATTTCTTTCACATGTTGCCTTTAATATTTTCTACTCGTCCCGATCCCTCCCTGCTCACCCCTCCTGATTTTTGACATTCTGCTTGTCTTATCATCTCTGTCTGTCCTCTTTTCCCCTCGACTTCTTAACCCTGGTGCCCTCCATTCTTCTGTTTCTCCACACGTCATCTCCACCCTCTGACTGTCTCTGCCTGTTATCTCTAACCTGTTGCCGCCTTGTTTAGTTCCTGGATCCCGGCCAAGAGGAGCTGCAGCAGCGTCTCAGTCCTCTGCCTGCAGGAAGCACCAGCCTGGAGAGCTACCAGGCTGCACTGGAGGAGGTGAGACAATGTGGTGATGATAAAGGACT